AAGTGTATCACCGAGCTCCACAGCAATAAAACACGCAGTAATGTGCAGTGTATCTAAGTGTATCACAGCGCTGCACAGCAATAAAACACGCAGTAATGTGCAGTGTATCTAAGTGTATCACCGAGCTCCACAGCAATAAAACTCGCAGTAATGTGCAGTGTATCTAAGTGTATCACCGAGCTCCACAGCAATAAAACACGCAGTAATGTGCAGTGTATCTAAGTGTATCACCGAGCTCCACAGCAATAAAACACGCAGTAATGTGCAGTGTATCTAAGTGTATCACAGCGCTGCACAGCAATAAAACACGCAGTAATGTGCAGTGTATCTAAGTGTATCACCGAGCTCCACAGCAATAAAACTCGCAGTAATGTGCAGTGTATCTAAGTGTATCACAGCGCTGCACAGCAATAAAACATGCAGTAATGTCCAGTGTGTAGAAAATGTCACAGAGCTCCACAGCAATAAAACTCACAGTGATGTGCAGTGTGCATAAGTGTATCACAGAACTATAGTCAACACAATTCACAATAATGTGGGTTGTGTATTAAACTTTCAATGAAGTTTATATCAATTAATTGTACAGTTTCTCAGTACACTATGAAGTCACTGAAAATGTTCTGAAATGGCTCTGTCTCCTGGCCACATACCCAGTCCTGCCGTCAAAGAAGTGTCCTTCTTTGGTTGTACACTATAGTAGGCGTATGTGTCGTGGGATTTACATGGAGAAAAAGTGTGTGTGACAAAATGAAGTGTGTGAATGAGTGTAAAAACACAGATACAAATGCTCATATACAAATACACACTGCCAGACACAAACATAAATATAAATCCTGGCAAATAAATACATTCACATGCAGATGCACTTTGAGAAACACACATACACAGATGCAGTGCCAGGTACACACAGATACACTGCAAGACAAAATCTCACACAAAAATATCAAAACCCATTTTATTTTTAGCTATCTTCTTTTTTTGACACAGAAGGTTGGCTTGCTGGTGTCCAGTAGGGGTCAGGCGTCCCCTTCTCTCCCAAGTGATTTCCTTAGAACACTGTGAGGAACTGATATAAATTTTCCATTTTTTGGGGGAGTTCCATAATGCAGTCCAGTTATTGGAGATACAGGGAGTGCAGAATTATTAGGCAAATGAGTATTTTGACCACATCATCCTCTTTATGCATGTTGTCTTACTCCAAGCTGTATAGGTTCGAAAGCCTACTACCAATTAAGCATATTAGGTGATGTGCATCTCTGTAATGAGAAGGGGTGTGGTCTAATGACATCAACACCCCATATCAGGTGTGCATAATTATTAGGCAACTTCCTTTCCTTTGGCAAAATGGGTCAAAAGAAGGACTTGACAGGCTCAGAAAAGTCAAAAATAGTGAGATATCTTGCAGAGGGATGCAGCACTCTTAAAATTGCAAAGCTTCTGAAGCGTGATCATCGAACAATCAAGCGTTTCATTCAAAATAGTCAACAGGGTCGCAAGAAGCGTGTGGAAAAACCAAGGCGCAAAATAACTGCCCATGAACTGAGAAAAGTCAAGCGTGCAGCTGCCACGATGCCACTTGCCACCAGTTTGGCCATATTTCAGAGCTGCAACATCACTGGAGTGCCCAAAAGCACAAGGTGTGCAATACTCAGAGACATGGCCAAGGTAAGAAAGGCTGAAAGACGACCACCACTGAACAAGACACACAAGCTGAAACGTCAAGACTGGGCCAAGAAATATCTCAAGACTGATTTTTCTAAGGTTTTATGGACTGATGAAATGAGAGTGAGTCTTGATGGGCCAGATGGATGGGCCCGTGGCTGGATTGGTAAAGGGCAGAGAGCTCCAGTCCGACTCAGACGCCAGCAAGGTGGAGGTGGAGTACTGGTTTGGGTTGGTATCATCAAAGATGAGCTTGTGGGGCCTTTTCGGGTTGAGGATGGAGTCAAGCTCAACTCCCAGTCCTACTGCCAGTTCCTGGAAGACACCTTCTTCAAGCAGTGGTACAGGAAGAAGTCTGCATCCTTCAAGAAAAACATGATTTTCATGCAGGACAATGCTCCATCACACACGCCCAAGTACTCCACAGCGTGGCTGGCAAGAAAGGGTATAAAAGAAGAAAATCTAATGACATGGCCTCCTTGTTCACCTGATCTGAACCCCATTGAGAACCTGTGGTCCATCATCAAATGTGAGATTTATAAGGAGGGAAAACAGTACACCTCTCTGAACAGTGTCTGGGAGGCTGTGGTTGCTGCTGCACGCAATGTTGATGGTGAACAGATCAAAACACTGACAGAATCCATGGATGGCAGGCTTTTGAGTGTCCTTGCAAAGAAAGGTGGCTATATTGGTCACTGATTTGTTTTTGTTTTGTTTTGAATGTCAGAAATGTATATTTGTGAATGTTGAGATGTTATATTGGTTTCACTGGTAATAATAAATAATTGAAATGGGTATATATTTGTTTTTTGTTAAGTTGCCTAATAATTATGCACAGTAATAGTCACCTGCACACACAGATATCCCCCTAACATAGCTATAACTAAAAACAAACTAAAAACTACTTCCAAAAATATTCAGCTTTGATATTAATGAGTTTTTTGGGTTCATTGAGAACATGGTTGTTGTTCAATAATAAAATTAATCCTCAAAAATACAACTTGCCTAATAATTCTGCACTCCCTGTATTTGTACCTTCCCAAATGGAACACTTAGCAATATCAGGCGTCAGAGCTCAGCCAGACCCCTTAACGGAACACTGACGAGATCCCATGCTGGCAGTCATAAACAACATAAAGTAGCTATGGGTGAAAAATTTAATATTGAGGGGGATTAATAAAAATGATCCCCATGGAAAGGACCATGATAAAAAGAGCATTCAACTGGTCTCTTAAGAGATTGCCCCACTTTCAAAACTTTACCCCTGACCACGAGCAACACTTTTATTAAACTCTGTGGATGATGGGAAGCATGTGACAGCATTTCTTGTAACAGATTACACAAAGAATTATATCTCTTTAAATACTTGTAAGGAACAGTACCATTAATAACTACAACATCCCACAGGAAAGATTGGTTTAACACAAACTCTGCTGTGGTTGTAATTATGGGGTACAGTTATTTACCAAAGAGTATTATTAGGCCCCTTACCACAGCACTCTTGCGAAAAATGGATGTGTCACAGGATACCCTGGAAGTTACAAAGAGAAGTGGGTGGCAATTTTTATCTAAATGTTACATGACGCACCCACACGCACGCGTACAAACACACACACAAATATGAAGTGTTGCAAAAGCTATATCTATTTAAGAAGAAGAAAAAAAAACTTTTTCCAGATACTCTATATTGGTGTAAAGTTTGCATTTCTTTTGACATTTAGCTGCAATAACATGATAATACACTACTGAACCTTATAACCAAACATATTTTACACCTGAATGATCTGCATGTTCCGGGAACGAAGGGAATACAGTGATATATCTAACTGTGTTTAAAGGACTAGAACGCTGCTGTCCGTCACACCCCGCGTTAGATATTATTAGGTGTGTAAACTGTGACAGCCATTGATAAACACAGCACTTAACGTCAAACGCCATAAAAAAAAAACACACTGTAGCCATGAACAGCTGAGAGATTCTGTATAGTTCATAAAAAGAGGTTTTTGAAATGTGTCCATCGTGGCGTAAAACATGCAATGCCCTTCAATACCTTCCAACAATCCGCACATTAGTAAATAAACGTTTTATTTTTTATTTTTAAATGTGATTCTTGAGGTTCCTTTTTAGGCTTTTAGACGTCACATCTTTTTCCTGTAAGGCTAAATGTTTGCTTTTTATTCATTTGTAGTTTTTTTTTTTTTAGCTGTTGTAGGGCATTGCAGAATATGCTGGCAATTTACGAGTTAAATACTAGTTATCTATGATGATTTCACCTATTCTTCAAAGCGCAGGATCATATATTTTTCAATTTACATCTAAATTACATTATATTGACATAATATCAGAATATGTTATTGTTTATAGATAGTATATTTTACCTATTATACTGGTATACCTGCCAAATACATCTTTCAACAATGTTATAGTGTTGATAAAAAGAATACTCCAAGCACCATAACCACCGCAGCTACGCAGCTTTTAGGAGAGCTTAGATTGGGACTTCTGGCTCTCTGGCATTGGTAGTGGGGGCAAAGAGTGATGCCAGGCAGGCCCCAAGTAAAAAGTCAAACCATTCAAAAACAGTTTGACTACATACCATGCGGATGAGGAGCAGGGCGCCAGGGCGCCAGGGCACATCTGGTACCATAACCACTACAGTTCCTTTAATAAAGTCCTACGATTGTGCAGTTCTTTACAAGGGGGGAATGACACATTTAAAGGATCACTATAGTCTCAGGAAAACAAAATGGTTTTCCTGACACTATAGTGCCCTGATGAGAAGACAGCCACTAGAGGCTGGATTAACCCCAAATGTAAACATAGCAGTTTCTCTGAAATTGTTATGTTTACATGTGAATGGTTAAAACCTGAGGGACCTAGCACCCAGACCACTTCATTGAGCTGAAGTGGTCTGGGTAACTATAGTGTCCCTTTAAAGGCTTATGCACAAAACTAGGATTATTGCAAGAGTATGTCAAATTTGCAGGCAAAATTGAATCGGATATTTTTTTTCCAGATTGGCTTTCTTTTTTGTCTGAAATTTGCCATTATCATGTCAATAATCTGTTAAACACTGTTTAGTGAATACATTGCATTTTTAATCAATAAACAGATTGTACTATAGGGACATTATACTCCTATGTAGGATGCTGATTAGAAAGGTAACTTTTCCTCTGCCTCACGGCAGTCAGACTTGACGGGAGGGGCCTCTGCCACTCATTCCCCTCACACAGTCAGTGTTAAAGGGGCAGCAAAGAGCCCTGCCGAATATGAAATGGAGGAAGAATGTGTCCCAAACTCCATTTCATCATAAGGTCAGCAACACTGCCACCACTAAGATGGATGACAGCACTCCCCCAGTTCCAGCCATAGCCAAGATGGCCACCAATACAGCACATACCACCAATGTCACAACTAAAATGGCCACTGCTTCATCCAAGACGACTTCTACTGGATTCAAGACTATGACCTATAACCCTCATATGCCATTGGAAATGGCGGAGGGTTTACCACCATCGGCTGGTTTGATTATCCAACTAATACAAGACCTGCGTGTGGACTTTAAAAATGACCTTAAAAAAGATTTCGATAACATGTATGGGATTTTGGAGAAAATTGGTCAACGCACGGAGGACGTTGAACACAGAATGTCTACACAAGAATCTTTTCATTTAGAACTGGTAAAAACTGTAAGCGATCTTCAAAAACAGGTTAACCAGCAGGCAGAACGAATAGCAGATTCTGAGGACAGGAGCAGACGCAACAATGTTAGAATCAGGGGGATCCCTGACACTGTAGATACTTCGGAATTATTGCACTATTTCCAAACCATGGTCTAAACAATTCTACCAGAGGCTACTAATTTGGACTTATTAGTAGACCGTATCCATAGACTACCTAAATCTAACAAGGCACCTGCAGCGGCACCAAAGGACACCATAGCAAGACTCCTCTTTTTCCACATAAAAGTAGTACTTTACGCACATCAGGTCTTCCTGACGAATACAAAAACATTAAGATCTTTCAGGACTTCTCAGCATACACACTGAGACGTTGCAGGGAATTCCAGCACCTTACAATTGAACTGAGGCAAAGAGGGATACGCTACAGATGGGGATTCCCTGTAAAAGTGCTATTTAATATGGATGGTCGAAATTTCACGATTGCCACTACTGAAGAAGGGACGGAATTCATCAACACTATCAACAGAAGGCAAACTCAATCCCGCGCTCTTTCACTGTCAACCCCACAGCATGCTCATAAGAAAAGCAAGGCAAATGATACTTGATCATTGCAGGTCTTGGCTTACAAGCTGCCAGATTTTTTTCTTCAGAATGTACTGGACGTACTTCCTCTACTGTTAAAGAATTTGGGATAGGTTATAGGCAGCAGGAAACTCACTTTGGAATTTTCTCAGTACCGCGTCAGTTTGCAGGAAATTTTTTCCTTTTGTTTATCCTGCCTTAACGATTATCTAATCCAGCAGTGATCCCAGGACTGGAAGGACTTGTTTTATTTTTAAATTTTTTTCTTATATATTTGACAATTTTTTAATTTAATTGTACTATTTTAGTTTTAAGCGAAGCATACATCGGTCCTCTAGTCTCAGGTAGCCTTTCCTCCCCCCAACCTGGGCCTAATACCCTGAGATGGAGAAATATTTTTTATTCTCCTTAATGGCCCTATTTTTACATAAGGTTATTTTCTCTCCCCGTATAGGGGAATTTACCCAAGTTTATCACCCCCCATTTTTTATTTTTATTTTTTATTCCATCCACTTTTTTATACACTGTAAACAATTTAATAAGTTACCAGGTTCTGCTTTAAATGCTTTAGCAAACTCACTCTTACTTAAACAAAAATATTTGTTGTTACGATTGTTGGATCTCATAATTCTCCTCTTGGGACGCGGGCCTTCAGGCTCCCACATTTCCATACACTTTCCTTTTACTGGCCGTGTACTCTGATTTGAGTCATGGTCATTAAACTCATGTAATTTAATGTGAGGGGACTGAACACCGCTCACAAGAGGCGATTATTGTTCAAAGAAGTTAAATCCAACCAATCGGATATTGTATGTATTCAAGAGACTCATCTTAAGGAAGGAAAAGAGTACAAATTTATGACACGGTTATTCCCATCACAATTTCATTGCACTTACAAGTCTAAGTCTAGAGGTACTTCTATCTTTTTTAGTAGGAAGGTGGCCAGCTCTACAGATAAGATACTGATGGATGATGACAGGAGATACATACTGTGGATTGGTAAAGTTAACAACGTTTTATATACACTTGTCAATGTGTATTTCCCCAACACAGGTCAGCTAACTTTTTTTAGGAAAATAATGGAATTGGTGAATGAGAACATGAAAGGGATTTTAGTGATGTGTGGAGATATGAACTTCGTTGTGGACAGTGACTTAGATAATGCAAGGGAAAATTTAGACACACCCCATACGAGAGACAGTGACGGACTAGCTGTGAAATGCTCAAAGTATATGGCTGAATGCGGATTGTACGATCCATGGAAATTATTACATGAGAATGAGAGAGACTTCACTTACTACTCCGTATCTAAGAACATGTATTCCAGGCTGGACAGGTTCCTGATACAGGGCGCTCTCATATCACACATCTCAAGATCTGATATTTTAGATATCAGTTGGTCTGACCATGCTCCCATAACTTTTCATACAGATGAAACGGTTTCTTCCTCCCCTAACGGACACTGGAGACTGAGTGATTATTTGTTAGACGATCCTGAAAATAGATTGCTCACTGAGAGGGTACTAAATGATTATTTCTTGGATAACTTTTCGCATGAAGTTCCTGGCAAGGTGACATGGAATGCGCACAAGGCTGTGATGAGGGATCATTTCATTTCTAGGGCATCTCACTTGAAGAAGAACAATAATAGCAATTTAAGAAATTTGGAAAAAGAACTGTACAACTTAAACCAGGCTAATAAATCAGCAATGATAGGGGAGATTAAATAAAAAATACATTAAATAAATATGGATAGGACTACTCTCATGGTGAGACGCCTCAAGAAATTGTTTTATTTAAAAGGTAACAAGACCTCAACTCTCCTGGCGTCCAAACTCCGGCAGGTAAATGCCCAATCTAAAATTTCGCACTTAATAGATGACCAAGGACAAAAAATATTTCACCCGAAGATTAGCGACCAATTTGCAAAATATTATAGCGAGCTTTACACTTTGGAATCTGATTTGAATCTCACCCAGCCGTCTGAGGCGACTATTAATGATTTTTTAGACAGGGTTTCGCTGCCTCGGCTATCGTTTGACAATTTTGAAAAACTAGAGTGCGATATATCTGAAGTAGAGATAGCCGAGGCGATCAAGCTCATGCCATCAGGAAAGGCTCCTGGACCTGATGGATTTACCATTTTATATTACAAGACCTTTGCAGAAACTTTAATGCCCCACATGTCCAAATTATTTAACTACTATAAGTCCGGGGGGAAGATGCCGGGAGAGTCTTTGTCCACACAGATTGTCACCTTGCCAAAACCAGGCAAAACTCCTGATAGATGCTCTAATTTTAGGCCCATATCCCTTATCAACAACGACATAAAAATTTATTCTAAGATACTTGCGAACCACTTAACTTGTTTAATACTCTTACTGATTAAGAATGACCAGGTTGGATTCGTCCAGGGAAGACAGGCACCTGACGGAACAAGACGGTTCATAAACTTGATTCAGCATATCAATTCAACAAAAACTCCCTCTCTGCTCCTTTCATTGGACGCAGAGAAGGCGTTCGACAGGGTACACTGGGGATATCTATGGAAGACATTGAGTAGACTTGATATTCCGCAACCTTTCATCACTGCGATTAATGCACTATACTGCGCACCCACAGCTCACGGATCGGCCTCGGGTTTCCAATCAAGAACGTTTTCCCTAACTAATGGGACGCGTCAAGGTTGTCCCTTATCTACGATTCGCTTTGTTCTGGTGATGGAACCCCTGGCCAAATTGATTAGGACAACCCCAGAAATAGCAAGTATTCACATTAAGGGATCCACCCACAAAATAGGGCTATTTGCAGATGATGTCATACTAGCACTCAAAAACCCAAAAGAATCTCTGGAATCTCTCAATACTATTCTACTCCAGTTTGGAGAAGTATCTAATTATAAATTAAATAACTCTAAGACCCAGGCCCTGCCTTTTCACTTGCAAAAGTCTGACATGGATGAATTAAAACTAACATTCCCGTTCGATTGGAGGAAGGATTACCTGAAATAGTTAGGTATTAACTTATGCAAACATTTACCTAATATGCATATTCATAACTTGAAGAGAGCATAGCCAGACCTACAAAGGGAGATGGAGAGATGGGTTGGCATGGAATTATCGTGGTTAGGAAGAATTGCCTCCATTAAAATTTCGATCCTGCCAAAAATCCTGTATTATTTCAGACCTATCCCTTTATCTGTTCCAATGTCCTTTTTTAACAAAGTGCATTCAATAATGCTTAAATTTATCTGGAACAATAAACTCAGTAGAATTAAGCTTACATCCCTGCAGCACAAAAAAAATCCACGGGTGCATCTGTGTCCCAAATTTCAGGAAATACTACTTTGCTACTAGTGCTGCAGTGGTTGTAAGCTTGGGCAATACGGCCCACATATGGTGGTATTGCCCAAAACTACCTAAATACTGTAAAATGATACATGATTTAATTGTTAAAATGAACGGGAACATAGACAATTTCACATCTGGACTAGCTCTATTTAAAAAAATTCCCTGAATCAGTCAGTAGAATCGATAGGATTATAGCAGGCCACATTCTGATAGCTGCGACCACATGTCTACCTAGATATTGGAAGTCTAAACATACACCCTCTATCAAAGAAGTACTGACACTAACATTAGAAAACAAAACATACGAACTATCACATAGAAGTAACACACACATATCTGCACAATTAAAATACCACTGGGATCAATGGGAAACAGATGTCAAAAAAACATATAACCTGTCATAACTTGTATTGCAATGTTACTCAACTTAAGTGCCTTGTACGTTAACATACTTACTGTTATAATGGATGGATATTCCCTTTTTTTCCCCCACTTCCAGTTTTCCCTTCCCCAATATATTGTTCTTTATTATTTGTAAATTCTGCAATTTTTTTCAATAAAAATTATTTGAAAAGAAAGGTAACCTTTAGTTTACTGAATGTATATTATTCACTGAAATGTGAATTGTTAGAAATGCAAAGACACTTTTACATTTTAGCCCTAAATAGCAAAACTGTTGAGTATATTGCCATCTAGTGTCAGAATCTCTGTGTAACATAATACAATAAAATGGGCTATAAATGTCTGTAGTTTGAAAAGTCTGCTAAATGCTCTTTTCAAGTAACAAGACGTGAATTGAATTACACTGTGTGTCCTAATATCAGAGGTAAGATACCATGTTGTAACCGCAGCCGGTTTCCCTATTTACCACTAGAACATCTTAAATCCGGTAATAGACTGGTTATAAATATCCCCTAAATTAGTCCATGAACTGGTTACAAAGACCATATATGTGGATATAAGAACCCAATTAAATAAGGACCCAAATCCCGTGGCCACTACTCTGTCCTTATCTAATTCTCCTTGACCCTTCTGCTGCTTTCGACACTGTTGATCATTAACTGCTTCTTCACATCCTCCGTAATCTCGGTCTACGAGATACCGCTTTCTCCTGGTGCTCTTCCTACCTCTCCCAGCGCTCTTTCAGTGTTTCTTTTTCTGGCTCTTCTCCCCAATCCCTCTCTGTTGGTGTCCTTGGTCCCCTACTGTTCTCTATCTATACTGCCTCCCTTGGTAAACTCGTCAGCTTCTTCTGCTTCCAGTATCATTTCTATGCGGATGACATGCAAATTTATCTGACCTCCCCTGATTTCTCACCAGCCCTCTTGACTTGTGTCTCTAGCTGCCTCTCTGCTCTTTATAACTGGATGGCTGCTAATTTCCTTAACCCCTTCAGGTGCGGACTGTTTTTGCGATGTTTGTACGTTAAGGGCCAGAGCTATTTTAACACTTTTGTGGTGTTTGTGTTTTGCTGTAATTTTCTGCTCTCTCATTTACTGTTCCAATACAAATTATATATTGTTTTTTTTTTGAGGACAAAAAGGGCTTTCTTTACATACTATTATTTTTATCATGTCATATAATTTAATTTAAAAAAAATAATAAAATATGGTGAAAATTTTTTTGACTTTTACTTAAAAAATCTTTTACTGATCTACAAAATCGAATGAAACAAACTGCTAAATAGATTCTAAATTTTGTCCTGAGTTTAAAAACACCCAATGTTTATGTTTTTTTTTTTGCAAGTTATAGGGCTATAAGTACAAGTAGAATATTGCCGTTTCAAAATGTACATTTTTCAAATGTATCAATAGTGACATTGTAACACTGTTATGTCATAAATCTCCAAAAACACCCCACATGTATATATTTTTCTTAAACTAGATAACCCAGGGTATTCATCTAAGAATATTTTGATACTTTCTATGCAGCCATTTTACCACAAACCTTTGCCAAACTTTGCATAGGTAGTTTATTTATTTTTTTCACATACATTGCAGTTCAGGTATAAATTCACAGATTCTGTTAGGTGTCACTGCCAAACAACACCCCAATATGTGTTCAGCAACATCTCCCGAATACAGGGATACCCCCCATGTATAGGTGTGTTGGGTTGTTTGGGGGCTAAAAGTCCACATTTTGCAGGTGCACTTATCAGTTTCCCAGCTTGGAATTTTGACAAGTAGTCAACCTGCATGCATGTCCTATTTGGGAAATTTTTGAAGCCAGCCAATGTATTTTACCCCCATCAAACCATATATTTTTGAAAAGTAGAGAACCCAGGGTATTTTTTTTTAAATTCTTTATTTTTGTATGCAAGATTTCACAAATGAGCCGTGGTGCCACAATAGCAGTCACGTGCACAATTTCAACATACATTTCACATATAGCACATTAATGTCTGCACAATTTTTATAATGGTCATAGTAGAGTATTAAGCTTAAGCATGTGATGCTCCCGCTATATTCGTCGCTAGTATTGTCAGATTTAACATTTGGAGCATGAACACAGGTATACTTGAGATTACGATTGGATTCACTGAGGTTTGCCTGGCTAATAGTTAAACGTGTACAGGTTCTAATCATATGGTTGTACGGTTTCTAGTGTGTCGTTTGGACGAAGTGGATTGTGTGGTGTTAAGTGGTGTTAGTCTGCCTTCACTCCGGACAGGTCTGGGGTCTGCTTGGTTAGTATCAGGTGAGTTTGTCAGGGCTTGTGTGTATTGTAGTTGTCTGTGGTAGTGTGTGTCTGCCTTGAGTAGTGTCTTGGTTTACGCGTATGTGTGTCTCTGCCTATTTTGTGCTGGTTGGTTGCTGTGTAAGTCCTAGTGTGTGTGCGTCTGTTGTTACCGTTTGTTTCAGTATGTGCAATACTGGAGCAGGGTCTAAGTGTCCAACATAGAGTACAGAAAAAGCATCTTCTGTGAGCCAGTGACTAGCCTTTGTATTGGGCATATAGTGTCTCTGGGGACCCGGTAGCAAAGTCCAGTCAAGCTTCTCTCGTAGCCGTGGGCACTCCTGGGGGTCTGCTTCTGCGGCTCGTAGGTTGAGTGCTTTTTTTGAAGGCCGCGTAGGGGCTGGCATGGATCCCAGTATGGCGCTTCCTCCTGTGCTTTCGGGTCCGCCGCTTCTGGAGCAGATGTTCGAGGTTGAAGCTTCTGGGTGTCCGCAGTCTGTGAGTGCTTGTACGATAAGGTTGCATGGTATGTGTACTACTGGCGTCCGGGGAGAATTCCCTCGATTCCCGCTCTTTGTCTTTCGACATACAGCTACTTGCCGGTGTTTGTTGCAGCTGAGGGTAGGTTGCTGGTTTGCGGGCTGCCAGCCAGTACTTCCACTTGATGGTCCCTGCAGGACTCGGTGGGTCATTCTTCATTTGCCCATGTAGTTGCACACTGTCCGCCATTTTGGAGCGCTCCATCCGACTTGTGCTCTCAGGCCCTGTTTGCACTTGGGCTCGGCAGACAACATTGGTGGGATAACCCCCGCCGGTCCAAAGGGGGGGGGGATCGCAGGACGCCATCCGGAGACCCGGGGGAGCGGCCGTCTCTCCCCGGCTCAAGCTCTCGTAGGCCCCAGGCCTTGGTCGGTGTACCATATTGTGCGTGGTATCATCTTGTGTGTCCCCATCTTGTGGACAGTTTGGGTGCCAATTGGGGTTGGTGGCGGCTTGTGGCACTGAGTTGGCTCCGATTCTCTGGCCCAGATCCTGGAGCTCAGACGAGACACGTCTGATCTGTTCAGCGGTCAGGCTCCGCCCCCCCCAGGGTATTTTAAATGGTGGTATTTTAACACTTTTCATGCACTGAATTCTGCCACCAGCCTTTGTCAAACTTTTGGGTAGTAATCTTTTTTTGTTTCTTTGTCACACACATTGTACTTTAGGCATGAATTGACAGATCCTGTTATGTGTCACTGCCAAAAACACCCCAATATGTTCAGCAACATCTCCCGAGTACAGTTATACCCCCCATGTATAGGGTTGCTCGGTTGTTTGGGGGCCAAAAGGCATCAATCAGAACTTGTACGTGTCAGTTTTTCAACTTGATATATAGGTATGCAGTTTCCCACCATGCAGATCTACAGCCCCTGGCTCCGTCGGGGGGCCGTTCTGGAGGCTCGAGGGCGATTTACTCCCAGGTGGCGTTGGGTTGTCGGGCGGATCCATTCCGCTACTGTTCGCATCACTCGCTTGAAAAGCAGTCTCCGGGCGTTTAGCTATGTCCAGGAGTCAGTCATAGAACTCCCGTGTGTGCTTGGGAGGCTCTGTAAGTGGGTGCTTTATTGTAGGCTGCTTCCGAGCCGCCATCTTGATTGGGCCTTGCCCTCCCCGTTTTACTTTGGACTTCGTCGCTTGGTCAGGCATTATTGTGGGGGTAGTCGCCTCGGCAAGGACCAGGATATCCCCCGCTGGTCCAGAGGGGGTGAGGGGGGGTCAGCAGGGCAGTGTTTGATCACCGCTTGTGAGGAGGTTCTGTGCCGGGAGATCGGCCGCTTACCCCAGGCCTCAGGCTCCGTTCTGGTGTAGGCCGCATGGCCGGTTCAGGCGCTTGCTTTGTGTTTAGTTGCAGGACGGGTATCTCTCTGTTCCCCGTGTGGTCCTGATTCTGTTTTTGGGCTTCTCGTGTAGCTGGCATTGTTTGGGTAGTCATGAGAGTCGTTTTTATGCCTGCTGGTGCAGGAGCCCTCAGAAAGCACGTCCGGCCATTTTGGCTGTCAGTCCCCACCCCCAAGATGCGGTGTTTTGACTTCTTTCCCACAACCATTTTGCCCCCCAAAGAAAGTTTAGTGGTAAATTTTTAATTCTGGTTTTTATGCACAAGTCATCTGGTTTTGGCCAGCTGGTTATGTGTTACTGCCAGAAAACTTGTTAGACCAAATGTGCAGGTAGCAAATGTACATTTAGCAGCAATCTTTAAACTGACTCCTACAAATAGAATCTAACTGGAGATTTGGGGGAAGGAAACTGACTAACAAAAAATGGCTGCTTTCCAAAGAAACAAAAAAATAAAATAAAAATTCAGGAACACTTCTTACAACTGTTCTGTGTGGTACAGCTTGAAACATGTTCCTACACACAGTCCTGGTTTCGAAGGGCAATCAGGACAGTGAAAAGGGGTGTCTGTCCTTTTCCCGTTTTTAAAACAGACCCGGCAACGTTTCTGGGGGGGGGGAGAGGTTTCTCGCAGTTGACGGTAACTGAAAAATAAAATGTCTGGACTCCGCTTGTACCGTTGTTGGAACTTGTCCATCTCCATAAATAAGAAATTATTTTCAACTGAAATTGGAGAAAGGTGGTTTTTCCCTGGGTTATTTTTTAAAAAAAGCAAAAATTAGTTGTGGGTTGCCATTTGCATCAGATAGATAGCCACCTTTTTATACCATGCTTTGGTTTTTTGTAAAATAAGATATGGCTGATCAGCCAAATCAACACCCCCATGTACTTATTAAGCGCCCTGATGCAACCCGGTTTGGACTCTACTCTGCCCCGGACAGAGACGTCTGACATGCGTTCGTCATGGATGGTGGTTAGCATGTTGACATCCTTCCTGTCCCTAAATTCGCCTTTTGTTAAATTTTGAGATCGTGGAAAGTCTTTGGAATTTTTTCTGGCAGTGCTGCAGGCCAGTGTCTGTAAACCATAAAGGTAAACAGACGGACACTACTATAACAATTATCCACATAAAGGTGGTAACTTTTATTAAACAAGGGGCTTAGTAGGTCCCATACAAGTTTCCCACTTGTCCCCAGGGAGTCAGGACAGCCAGGAGGGTCCAGTTGACCATCTTTCCCCTCATATACACGAAAGGCAAATGTGTATCCACTTTCACTCTCGCACAGTTTGTACAGTTTTATGCCATACCTAGAGCGCTTTGAGGGGATGTATTGTCTGAACCCTAATCTCCCTTTGTATTTCATTAGCGATTCAACTATGGATACATTTTGTTGGGGGGTATAAACATCCGAAAACTTGTCCTAAAAGTGTCCTGAAAATGGTCTAGCAGTGGGCGTATTTTATGAAACCTATCGTATTGGGGGTGATCTCTAGGGTGACAGAGGGTATTGTCACTGAAATGTAAAAATCTCAGCAGTAACTCGTATCTGGCTCTAGGCATGGATTGGGAGAATACTGGACTAGACATTATTGGGTTGGTGCACCTGTATGAGCGAATCGATGGCTTCTTTATAATCCCCATGAGCATTGTAAGAGCCCAGAATTTTTTAAGCTCTGGGACATCTGTGGGATGCCAGTCATGCTCCTGACTGTATAGCTACCTGGATTGTTATCAATAAATTGGGTAGCATACAAGTTAGTCTGGGAAGCAATCTCCTCCCAGATGGTATCCCCCTAAAAATAGTTCTACATACTGCATTGGGGAAAAACCATCCAGATTAACATTAATGCCTGCGTTGGCACTAAAAGGAGGGACGTTGGGCTCGGCTAACTGTGGAGGTACCCAGTCCTCCTCCACATTTGGTGTAGCAGAGGAAGCAAAGCTTCTTTCTTCAGCCGGCTCACACACAGATGACATGTCATCTTGACTAGACGTGTCAGAAAACTGACCTGGGTCAAAATCTGACGCAGTGTCAGTGGCGTCAGAGTCTGACGCCAAGAAGGCATATGCCTCCTGCAAGTTATACATAAACTGCATGTTTTACACACGACTAAAACAAATTTTATTAATGACACGGAGGCTCCTATTATGCCATCTCTTTCTTACTTTATTCCTCAGCAACAAAGAGAAATATAAAACTGAAAGAGAAAAAATGTAAATATGAAATATAATAACAGGTACAACCAGATCTGCCTAGTAACAGGGCAGCCAATCAGCTTAGTAGGAACAGTCCATAAAGGTCTTGCTTAGTACTTCCACTTCCTCTTTCTTTGCTGCTGTCCTCAGACCAGCTAAGTATTAAATTTTCACTCCTGTATATTTGATCTTTTTTGATTGTTATATGGGTTTATCTACTGATTATTTTTCTTGATTATTTATGTGATGCTGCTTTATATCGCCCTATATGATTTCTGTATTGTTTTTGCTGCATCTGGTATTCCCTTTTTGGTAATTCAGTTTTTCTTCCCCTGCGTTTTTTCTGGCTCCCTGCCTGTGCTGTACCTTTAGTTAGCACAGACAGGGGCCGCGGATCACAGGGGAAGTTATCTCGGGAGCTGCAGTGCTCCCTGACCGCCCTCCCTCCCCTCGCGACCGCGTGTGCGGCCGCGTTTGGCTCCGACCCGCTCAGCCTCCCCCTCGTGCCCGCTGGTGCGAGGGTGTTTCCCCGGCCGCGTGTGTTCCACGCGCTCCCCGGCCATTGGCGGGGGAGGAGCTTGGTGCCCGCGGCGTGCTCTGCATGCGGTGGCCATCTTCCCTCTCACTCACACACGTGGCTGCTGGCGGTTCCGGCGGGTCGGCTCCCCTTCCCTTTGTTTTTTTTACAGGTATTGTGCTTTTGTGGGTTACTCAACCCCTGTACTGTAGGTTTAGGGTTCCATCGTTTTTCCTGCTCTGTAATATATACTGATACTGGTGTCCCTGGCTGCCATAGTTCTTGTGGGTGTCTATTGCGCTGCATATATTTAAAGGGACATATCCCCCTTTTCCCACAAGTTTATACTACCCTCCTGACTATCATGCAGGCTAGGGGTGATGGTTATGGCAGTCCCAGTTATCCTAGTATGGAAGCCTTTCAGGCCCCTGTCTCAGGTGAGGTGGGACTCACCCCCTCTCAAGAGTTCCAGGCCCCCTATTGACTCTACTATGCAGAGGGCCCTGGCCTCTGCCATGGGGACAGTTTCATCGTCACTGTCTCATACTATTCAACAGGCCTTGACTCAGCCCTTGGTTTCTCCTATGTTGGCAAGCCCCCTGCCTGCGCTGCAACCTCAGGTCAGTTGCAAGGCACATGCCAAAACTAAACATGTCTCCCCCAATGTGACACAGGTAGTACCTGCCCTGACTGACGCGCCTCTGGCCGTCCAAGATGGCGTGTTACCGCGCAAGAGAGCCGCTGGCCGGGCAAAATCGGCCAGAAAGTGGAAAAGGGCGCGTGCCCATGGCAATGACAGATCATACTCCGATCTAAGTGGGGAGACAGGCTTGGACACCCCCGATTACGCCTCTTATGAGGAAGGGGACTCCGACGCAGAGGCGGGGTCTGACGCTTCGGCGCTACCTCCGATTGGGGAACAAGGCATATGTGATCCGCAGGGTTACCCCCTGTTCGATCCTGATGACCTTCGTCACCTTCGCTCGGCGGAATGGGACCCGCCCGAGCATATAGCTAGTTATCTAGTGCTGCGTGTGCGTACTCCCTTGTCCAAGGAGGGGCGCAGTAAGTTACGGGCCGAGTGCCCAAGGCCCCCAGTGCCTGACGCGGCATGCAAGATGTCAGAGGTTGACCCTCAGATTTCCCAGTTCCTGGCAAAAACGGGCTGGAAACCCAGGAAGGGTTTGGAGTTTTCACTCCATAATTGCCAGGACAAGATTTTGGACACTTTAGGTCCCGTTGCTAAGCTTTATGAGCTATTCGAGACGGCTAAGACAGGGGACACCCCCCTTGATTTCGATGAAGCAATAGGATGGGTCCAGAGACCGATTTGCCTTCTCGGCAATGCTAACACGGCTATGTCAGCCGAACACCACAAGGCGATCTTGCTTAAAATTGAGCCTAAGTTGGTAAACCTGGCAGTGAAGGAACTGGGCGCTGCCGCTAAGGGCATGCTCTTTGGCGAGTCTTTCGTTAAAGACCTGGGCTCATTTGTGCGTACCTTCACCGCCCTAGATAAGGCCCAATCCAACTTGAAATGCGTTTTTGGCCCAAAGGTTTTCCATAGGGCCGGGAGGTATAGGAGCCGTCCGCCCGACCGTTGAACTCGAGGTCCCTCACGGACACATAGAGGTTCCTTTGCTGCCCCTCGGGCCTACCAGAACTACAAGCCCGCTCCCTTCTTTCCCTCCCGTGGGAGGACGTGGCAGAATCGGGGAGGACGTGGTCAGCCCTCATACAGACGCCCTTAAGGGTGAGTACCCAGGAATGTATTTCTCTCCGGGCAAGTGTGGGGGGAAGATTGGCTTTGTTTCTCGACATGTGGGGCATGATCACCACAGATGTGTGGGTTTTAAATACGATCAAAGGTTTTCGCCTAGATCTTTTATCTTCCCCTATCCAGGTGGTTACGCCTCAGGAACTGAGGTTTCCGGAAGAGCAGTCCGGGTTGATTACCAAGGAGATCTCGGAACTTCTTGCCAAACAGGCAATACAGGAAGTCCCGTACGAGCATCCGGGATTTCTAAGCAACCTGTTCCTCGTCGCCAAGAAAGGCGGAGGAGTTCGGCCGGTTATCAATCGCAAACGACTCAACGGATTCCTTCGTTACCATCACTTCAAGATGGAAGGCATACATTGCCTCAGAGATCTGCTTCAGCAAGGGGATTGGATGGTCAAACTAGACCTCAAAGACGCATACTTGACTATACCAATGTCAGAGGAACACTGGGAATTATTGCACTTTACGTGGCAAGGACGTTGATGGAGGTTTACCTGTCAGCACCTTGGTGCTTCACAAAGGTGATGAAACCGGTGGTGGCGTTCCTCAGGTCTCGGGGAGTACGCATGATTATTTACCTGGACAACATACTGATTATGTCCGTGCCCCCCGACCAACATCTACAGCATCTGAGCTGGACGGTGGATCTTCTGGAAAACTTTCTCTTAAATTAGGAAAATCCATGGTGACCCCGACGCAGAAAATAGAATTTCTGGGTTTCGAAGTCGATTCGGTCGCCCAGTTCTTGTTCCTTCCAGAGGCCAAGCTAAAGGCTATGAAGAAGGAAATAAGACGTACACTACGGACCACCTCTCTCTCCGTACGATGACTGGCGAGGGTGATTGGCCTTTTGGCCTCCTCCATTCAGGCGATTTTCCCGGGACCCCTGCATTATCGGGCCCTGCAATGTCTGAAGGGATCCCACCTTCGCTCGGGCAGTTCATACGAAAGCGAACTACGCCTGGCATGGTTGGGGTGCTCGCTGTGGGAATGTCTCCCCAGGTGGCAGATAGTCCGAAATCGAATCGACACTACACATAAACTGTCTGGAATTGCTGGCGGGATCATTCGCTATTCGCAGCCTGTCTCCAACTCTGGGAAACTGCTGCGTCCTTCTGCGCATGGACAATGTGTCCGCGGTCAGATATATAAATCACCTAGGTGGCACGAAATCAAAACAACTGGCGAAGGACTTCTGGTAGTTTTGCCTCCACAGCGTGGTGTCAGTTACGGCCGAACACATCCCGGGCTTGGACAACAAATGGGCGGATTGGAATTCGCGATACTTGAAAGACTCAGGAGATTGGCACCTGCTGCCTTCGATCTTTCGACAGATAGATCTACTATGGGGCCCGTTACAACTGGACTTGTTCGCATCCAGACTAAACGCTCAACTACCCCAATACTTCAGTTGGAGGCCGGATCCATCAGCCACGGCGGTGGATGCGTTTCTGCAGACATTGCCTCGGGGTCGTCACTCGGACGCTGGCGTACTTGTCCAGGCAAGAGTGCAAGTTCCCCTATGGCAGACTCAGCCTTGGTTCCCGCGTCTCTTGGAGATGGCGACGGATTGCCCACGGATTATCAAGATGCGACCAGAGGTGCTTCTAGATCCTGATGGGAACTCACACGAATTGCTGCACCAGGACCTGCTCCAGCTCACGGCTTGGTTGATTTTGGGGGACCCTGGTGTGTCACGGACGTTCCGCAGGCTACTACAAGACTCCTGGAGAATGCCTGGGCACCGGGTACCAGAACAGCTTACAAATCTGCATGGCGTGTGTGGTCTGGCTGGTGCGTGGGAAGACTGCTGGATCCTCTTTCTGCCCCTCTGAAGGAGGTGCTCAGTTTTCTGACTACACTATTTGAATCTGGTTTGGCCTACTGCACTATTAATGTTTATAGATCGGCCATCTCGGCTGGACATCTAGGTATTGACGGATCACCGGTTGGACAACATTCTTTTGTATGCCGATTGTTGAAGGGTATTCGTTACTCTAGGCCTCCGAAATCCAGGTATTCATCGTTTTGGGATGTTAACGTAGTGCTGGGCTTCTTGGAATCGTGGCCCCTTAATGAGGAGCTGTCGCTGAAGCAATTATCCTGGAAACTGGTTATGCTCTTATGTCTCCTTTCATGTAAAAGGGTTTCGGATATCAGGGCTTTGGACTGGAACGCATTATGCTTCACCCCCGAGGGAGTGTCGTTTAACATCTCTAGGAGGACTAAGACGTCTTCAAAGTCGGTGACCTACCCTAGGTGTTCAGTCCGACCTGCTCTGTGTCCGGTGGCTTGCCTACGGGTGTACTTGGATTGCACTCACCAGTTGAGGTCATTGGATTTATCCCAATTGTTTATTTCCTTTAAGAAGCCGTTTCTCCCGATCTCCTCGACTACGTTAGCTCGTTGGATTAAGAATCTTCTTTCCGCTGCAGGGATCGATACTTCGATATTTTCGGCTCATTCGGTCAGAGGCGCCATGGCGTCAAAAGCTTCCACGATGGGATGTCGTCTGGATGATATCTTGAAGGCAGCGGATTGGTCTAGAGAATCTACGTTCCGCGATTTTTATTTCCGCCCTATTGACCATGTTTCCTCATTAATTGTGGCTCAGCTTTAAACAAGCATAATAGGACCCTCCGTGTCATTAATAAAATTCCCAGATTTTACTAATAACATGACGTAAAGTCATGATTTTATTAATGACACGGAGGCGAGTATTATTCCCACCCACCCGTTGGGTATGGTTTGGATCTACACTTATGGTTCAATCGGGGGGGATCTTTTACCTCAAGGTAAGTGTTCACGGTTTTTCTCTTGATTTATGGCATATAGTGGGGTCTATTTACTGTTTGCTTATGTGTTTTACGATAGTTGGCATATATAGTCCTACAGGCCAGATTGTCATGATATGTTACATTCAGATCCGGAGTTTGGATTTTACCTACTATTTCTCTGTTTTACAGCTTGATTTCGTTGTGATGAAGTCTACCTTGTTGGAGATGGTTCTTTCCTGATGTGGATATTTGATTTGGGTCTTCGGTTCAGAAGGCAAAGAAGAGGAAGTGGAAGTACTAAGCAAGACATTTATGGACTGTTCCTACTAAGCTGATTGGCTGCCCTGTTACTAGGCAGATCTGGTTGTATCTGTTATTATATTTCATATTTACATTTTTTCTCTTTCAGTTTTATATTTCTCTTTGCTGCTGAGGAATTAAGTAAGAAAGAGATAGCATAATAGGAGCCTCCGTGTCATTAATAAAATCATGACTTTACGTCATGTTATTAGTAAAATCTGGGAATTACAAACAGAAAAAAAATATTTTATACTTTTTTTTTTTTTACTAAAACAGACTAAACAGCAATCCCTAAACTAACTCCTGTCACAAAAATCTAATGCAGATTTTGGGGAAGGAAACTGACTGACTATGACAGACCAAGACACCGATTTTTTTTAAAATTTAACCCTCTAAGGGCAAAAAAAAACAAAAAAACAGACAGTACAAATGCACTGCTGTAACCGATCTGGGAGGGAAGGGGTTAAAAAGGATTTTTTATTCACTTTAGATACTGTATAAAGCTCTGGAACACTTCTGCTGCAACAAACTATCACGATCTCTGTCTCTCTCCCCTCACAAAACGCTACAGAGGAGAGAGGGGCAGAGATCACTGTCAAAGTGAGTGTTTGTAACACCCACTTTGACAGCAGCCAATTGTGAGCGATCGCGGATCGCTCACACGCCGCAATTGGCTGTTACTATCTGCCTGGGATACCGGCGGGAGTGATCTTTGATCGCTTCCCGCAGCCCGTTTTTCGCTGTGACGGTTCAGGACCGTCAGCGGTCCAAACGCATGTTTTACCGCTGACGGTCCTGAACCGTCAGCGGTCCTAAAGGGGTTAAACTTAACCTGTCCAAAACAGAACTACTGGTCTCCTCTCCCTCAAGTGTTGCTACTCCCTTGTCTGTTTCCCTCCAAGTCAATGGCGCTACTATCCTCTCTACCTTGCAGGCTAGCTGCTTAGGTGTTCTAAGGTCCCAATATATCAGGCCATAATGTGAATATAAGGACCCATAAATCACAAGGCATAATGAGGTGATATATAAGGCCATAATGTGAATATAAGGACCCCATAAATCAGGTCATATTGTGGGTATAAGGCTCCATAGATCAGGATATTATGTGGATATAATGACTCCATAGATCAGGCCATAATGTGGATGTGAGGACCCATAGATCAGACCATAACGTGGATATAAGGTCCCATAGATCAAGCCCTAATGTGGATATGAGGGCCCACAGATCAAGCCATAATGTGGATATGAGGGCCCATAGATCAGGCCATAATGTAGATATAAGGTCCCATAGATCAGGCCATAATATGGATATAAGGTCCCATAGATTAGGTCATAATGTTGATATAAGGTCCCATAGATCAAGCCATAATGTGGATATGAGGGCCCATAGATCAGGCCATAGTGTGGATATAAGGTCCCATAGATTAGGCCATAATGTGGATACGAGGGTCCATAGATCAGGCCATAATTTGGATATAATGCACCATAGATCAGGCCATAATGTGGATATGAGGGTCCATAGATCAGGCCATAATGTGGATATAATGCCCCATAGATCAGGCCATGATGTGGATATATTGACCCAGAGATAAATTAGGTCATAATGTAGATATAATGACCCAGAGATAGATCAGTCCATAATGTGGATATAATGACCTTAGAGATAATGCCATAATGTAGATATATTAACCCATGGATCATGCAATAATGTGAATATCAGAGAGAAAAAAAAAAAGGTTACCTGCGCTCTTTCCACATCCCTATGTATTTTTAAACAAATTGAGGTTTTTAGTTACCTCCAATGGCCATGAGAGGGTAAGCCCACCTGCCACATCAAAGCAGACCTCCCAGGTGGGTCCCAACTCCAACCATTCACCCTACCTCCCTGAGCCTCCAACAAAAGCATCTCCAATGAGACAGAAAGGGGTACCTTTTATATACATCCCTACATGCTTATTAACCCTTAATAGGGAACACATGTGATGGGCAGCAGCATTGCAACCTAGCTGTGTGATACACTATATGTATTTTGGCTGATGTGTACTATGGTCATTGCTGCCGTCCAGGAGTAATGGGAGTTGGAGCGCTGGACTAGTTTCTTTGTAATAATGTGAATATAATTACCCAAAGATCCAGGGCCATCTTTAACATAGGGCAAATGGGGCTGCTGCCCCGGGCCCAGTTACTCTTGTGGGGACCAAAGCAGCTGCCCCATTTGCCCTGTTGGCCACCATGCTAAGGAGGCCATCGGGTGGCCCATGCACTTAGGGCCACCCGTTGGCATAGTGTCCTCAGAGGCCTGCTCATCGCTGCGGCCCGGGCCCCTCTAATGATGTCAGCGTTGGGAGGAAGTGACAGCCAGTCACTTCCTCCCAGCTAACACTGAGTGCCGCATGGGAGGGAGGAGGAGAAAAGGGGAGTGCAGAGTGAGAGCCTCTGACTCCAAACAGCCGGCTGGACCTAAGGGAAGCCACATTCCTTTACCTAAAAGGTAGGAAATAGGAGAGTAGCTCAAAAAAGTTACTTTTAGCATGTTTGTGTTTCTATCTGTATATCTGCATGTGTGTCTGTATGTGTATATGTATATCTTTATGTTCTGTATGTCTGTTTGTGTATCTGTGTACCTGTATGTGTATCTGTTTGTCTATGTATCTATATGTGTGTCTGTATGTGTATCGTTGTGCCTGTATGTGTATTTGTGTGCTGTATGTGTATTTGTATGTCTGCATGTGAATCTGTGTGCCTGTATGTTATCTGTGTGTCTGCATGTGAATTTGTGTGTCTGTATGTTATCTGTGTTTCTGTATTTGTGTGTCTGAATATCGGCCTGTCTGTATCTATTTGTATGAATATCAGTATATCTGTCTGTGTATCTATCTGTGTGTCTGTATATGTATCTGTGTGTCATTGTGTCTATGTGTATCTGTATGTCAGTGTATCTACCTGTGCATCTGCACGTGTCTGTATGTGTGTCTGTATCTGCATGTGTATCGGTTTATATGTATATCTGGGTGCCTGTGTATCTGTTTGTCAGTATGTGTATATCTGTGTGTATGTGTAACTATATGTGTGTCTGCAAATGTATCTGTGTGTCTATGTATCTGCATGTCCGTCATTGTGTTCCCTGCGTATCTGTGTGTGTCAGTGTTGTATCTTTGGGGGGTGGGGGTGAGGGGGATTGTGTGGAGGACATGATTGCTTGCCAGGGAGTGGGGGGGTAGACAGGATCCAGGGCTGAGAGATCAGACCATAATGTGGATATATTGACCCAGGTATCAGACCATAATGTGGATATAATGCCCCAGATATCAGACCATAATGTGGATATTCTGACCCAGATATCAGACCATAATGTGGATACATTGACCCCGATATTAGACCATAATGTGGATATAAGGACCCAGATATCAGACCATAAAGTGGATATAATGCCCCAGATATCAGGCCATAATGTGGATACATTGACCCAGATATCAGGCCATAATGTGGATACATTGACCCAGATATCAGACCATAATGTGGATATAATGGCCCAGGTATCAGACCATAAAGTGGATATAATGCCCCAGATATCAGGCCATAATGTAGATACATTTACCCAGATATCAGACCATAATGTGGAAATAAGGACCCCTATATCAGACCATAACGTGGATATATTGACCCAGATATCAGACCATAATGTGGATATAAGGACCCAGATATCAGACCATAACGTGGATATATTGACCCAGATATGGGACCATAATGTGGATATAAAGGCCCAGGTATCAGACAATAACGTGGATATATTGACCCAGGTATCAGACAATAATGTGGCTATATTGACCCAGATATCAGACCATAATGTGGATATATTGACCCAGATATCAGACCATAACGTGGATATATTGACCCAGATATGGGACCATAATGTGGATATAAAGGCCCAGGTATCAGACAATAACGTGGATATATTGACCCAGGTATCAGACAATAATGTGGCTATATTGACCCAGATATCAGACCATAATGTGGATATATTGAC